AAACAAACAAACAAACCAGTACAAGTAATTTTATCTCAAAGAGACGCTAATAAACAATAATAGTTCTAATAAACTTAAGTTCGAGTGCTATGCTTGATATTACGAAAAAAAAAAGAGAAATCTAAGGCTGCTTAATAGTGATGTAAAATATTCCTAAAGCTGTTATACATAGTAAGTATAAGTTTTAGGTTTTATTTTCACTCGAAACGTACCCTAACTTTGATCACAAGTCAAATGAACAAAAAAAACAAACAAATTATATCGTATATTTACTACTTATACATATGTAATGTCAAATATAACTGATATATGTATATATATAAACTGCGTAACAATTTTCTTAAGCCTTAACGTAGTATAATATTAAACTTATTAAAAAATAATACGGTAAAATAAGATACGTTTAACATTCTAGGTTTATCTCTGCATTGTAAATGTCACGCGGTAGATAGTTATTTCTAAGATACAGTCAGTATAATTGAAATTATGACGAATTACGAAAACAAGTGAGAAGACAACCAAGTTAGAACTGTGCTAAGACGTAATTAATTCTACAAACAATGTCTTAGATAATCATGGTACCTACCTACGGACTTATTGTACAGGCCCGTGTTCCTAGTATGGAGATGGAAAGGCATCTGTGAGAAGAAAATGTAATATTAAATGTTAACATGTTGAACATTTCTCACAAACCAAACACTAAGCCGTAGGTTTAAGATGTGTGTTTCATGCGGTCTTTTGAGTCAACATCTATACGTTATTTCTAATGGTGAAGAGTAGTGTTATCAACACCCATGAATACGATACTTATAACTTCCCTATGTTCGGACAAAACTGACATGTTGATAGAGTTTCATATGAAAACCTATCATATTAAAGCGATTTTATGTGACGACGAAACGGTGATTCAGTTATCGTACTACAACCTAACATATTTGGATAGATTTACGTATGAACGAACGACCATACGGTAAGATAACCAATCATACTTGCATTGTTGGTCGTATAAACATGATGACGAAACGGGAAAACAATACATGTATACACCTGGAAAAAAGTTAAGCACCCCCGTGTTTTTTCAAGTGATTCAGATTCGACGTTCTTGTGACTGATTATAAATTACCATTCAATCTAAACGTGTTTAT